GTTTAGACTATTTGAATCGGTACCCGTTTCCTGGATCAGTGCTGTCGAATACACTCCGAACAGTTATTTCTTGGAATATTAGGACTTTCAATCATCAACTATCCTTATTTACGTAAAGTAATCAAAATGCGAGTAATTTTGGACATTCTTCCCTCTTGCATATCAATGCCATTCAGAACAATCAGCGAGTCAGTCGCTCGTTATGGTTCACTTTCCCTATCTCACAAAAGAAGTGACATTTTTTGTGCAGAACACGAAATACTCGAATCGTAAAAAAGAGTTCTTCATCTTTAAATGAATAGTCATCCGTTGTATGGTAAGTGAGACGACGACGACGACGACGACAGCAGCTGCGACGACGATAATTCGTTAAATACTGCGAGCATGTCCAAAATACCTGTCTCAATACCCATCCCTGAATGAGCACATTTGTAGTAGTTGTAGTAGTAGTAGTGCACTGGCGAAGAATGCAGTGACTCAATGAACAAGGAGAAGTTAGTTACAAGATGGTTTCCTATAAGGTTGGTTCTTATATTTTCATCCGCTTAGTTTTCATGATGAAGTTTTTTTTGTGATGAAGCAAGTTTTCTTCTGGCATATTCCATTACTACGAAGTATCTTCCAGTTGAAAGGCAGTTCAATTGAAGCAGGAGTTGTGTTATTTTTACAGCGATCATGTCCCGTTACATTCCGATCATTTACGTGCAACTAGCAAATCAGATCCCTTTCTGTAAATCAAAAAAAAAGAGCCTTGATCTTCTTCAGTATTGAAGAAAAGTAAAAGATTCAAGGAAACAAGATCATCTTGTTCTCGTAAGTTTTTCCAAGATTTGAGCAAATCCTGTAATACCCTTGTATCGAGATATTCTGAAAGGTTTATGCAGATAAACAGTCTCTTATCACGACGACGCAATCGCTTCGAATGCTCACACTATTGTATGCTCAGAATACCAGTTGTACAGATCACCTGTTTGTATTGAAACATATAATTGCGTGTTGTTGTTTGTCTAGTTAATTATCTTCCAAATTCACTTTGTTTGCCTTAATCATTTGCAGTTTTTGAAAAATTACGTTGAATCAACGATGTTCAAGTGTATAACAAAGATATTATAGTAATAAGAAACGACATTGTAAATTTTCATTGCATTATTCTGTATGTTTGTGTTTATCTTTTCGGATTGTTTTCATTTGTTGAAAAAAGTTCAGAGTGCTAACAACAGACCAACCAGAGACTATCCAGTTATATTGCGAGATTCTCGATGCATAAATTTCGCTGACCACTGAAGTTTACCTTCAGTTTAATCTCATTCATATACGGCACTTGACTGCCAGCGCTATCTCTTATATTAACATGGAGTTGCGCTCAATAATGACCAGTCGGTGACCAAGCAAGAAGCCACGTTAAGGAGCACTCGCCACCTGTTTCATTTGTAACTGATCATTAATTTAGTCAAACATTTTCTGATTATGTGCTTTTGCAGCACTGTTGACCTCTGTTAGCATTTCTGCATTCGGTTATTTTAAAAGGAAATTACGTTCATTATATTCCAGTATGCGGCGTATCTCACAGAATGTCTCATCTTAATTTTATTTAGAATTTGGCCGAATCTGTAGATATTATTCTTTTGGCTTTGTGGAGAACCGTATTCATATGAACCTTAAATGCCTCCATTTTGGTTCATTTATGAATTTCAATAAGTTTATATTCGTATATTTGGGTGCATCCAATTGTGCATGGTCTAACGAACAGTCAGTCGTGCATTGTCATGATCAATCACCCAGTTACTTGATCAAATTCATTTATATGTAGGGTTGAGTATCACATACTCTTCTGATGTAAGCCAGATCTTCCTTGTGCCACAGAATTAGCGAGTTAACGATGGATTTCAAATCGAGATATTCCCAAGAAAATATCTCAGTCAACCTTTTGTATCCGTATGCTGCATATCGCTGCATTCGTCAAAACCGTCGATACTCTGCTACACCACAAGCCTTCGTTGCATACTGATCTTTTACTTAAAGCTGTGATCAGTCGTATGGTATCTGTATTTGGATAGCGTAAAATATCTCGATTCCAGCCCGACAGGTGTACGCCGTGGAACCAACAGAACTCATTGTTGTCACCAGCAGATCGTCGTCGTAAAGCTGCCGCGCCACCGGAAGGGATGAGTGATGCAACGTTAAAGTCGAGACAAACGGCAATCAGCAGCGATCAGCCATCGAAACAATCGTCCCAAACACTCTATTATCCGGACAGGTGCGTGTGTTTGTCACTACTCTCGTGGATCTGAGCACTGTATTTTCCAGATATCGTTGTAGTTATTGCAAAGCATTCACATGTGTGCATCTATCTGCCATGTTTCCCTTCAAAGCGCTTGAAACGATTGCGATTGATTCATGACTTAATCAGTTATTGTACTTTTGCATGCTGAATTTCTAAATTCATCACCATTCAGAGGAATTCTAATGATCCAATTGTTTTTGCTCACAACGTACCCTGCAAACTGGTTCTAATTTAATGAATCATCACACTCGAACCTTGTTAGATTTAATCACTTTGGTGACTTGTCGCATTTTCATTAAAACCTCTCAATTTCAAGACTGTTGAAAAAGCCAAACCATCGTCAACCAGCATCAAAATTTTATCCTTAGCGCGCGAATCATGCAATTTTCATTTGCATTACATTAACTGCTGTTATTGTGCTAACGATGCGAGATCATTACTGAACTGACAATGGCAGTTAAGACTGCAAACAATCGCAGAACAATAAATCGTCCTTACTGAACGATAAAGTATGCATGTGTTCTAGACATTGAATGCAATTCGTTGTGTGATTGAATAGGGCGTATTATTTACAAAAAGAATTTCTCATATTCAATTCTATTTACATTCGAATAGCAATGTAAATAAAATGACCACTGTTATTTATTTCTGAGAACGATTCAATTTCAAAATGGCTAAACTACTCACTCAAAAATGTTTACATTCAACAAAAACGTCTAGAGAATATGACATTGAAACGCTTCGAGTGGCTCGTTTCTGATGCAGCATGTGGCTGACCGCAGGTGCTGTGCAGGAATGTCAAAAAAGACTCCTTAATGAAACTGTGGGGTTTTATTTTGGGATGGCAAGGATTGAATTATTAGTTTGACTCAATTTTGTTGTATGCCAGCAGGGTTAAGCTAAGTAAGCATTTTTAAACGCCACGGTCATCTTTATACACATTCTGATTGCTTACAATTAGCAGGGATCTATAACATCACAAGTCACATTTCTTATGAGTATAAAAAAATTCTCAGTGCTAAAGTCACTTCTATAAGCATGAAAAAATTTGAAAGCATAAAAAGTTATTTGTGTGAACAGAGCACAAAGATAATTTGCATTTGATCAATACCAAAGATGATTCTTCCAGCGATGATCTATGAGTAGAAAGCAGCTCGTAGTCCTCTACGAAATATCGAATTACCGGTATTAATTTCAGTTCAACGAGTGAGGCGAAACAGTGGGATATCTTCCGTTTATTGCCTCCACCACCTGACAGTGCTGGACGGGGTATATCTATTCATTCGTGTTATTTCCAATAGTTTGGAACCTCTCATTGTATTTCTGCTCTGTGAAGTTTACACAGCAACAGATACTGCTCAAAAGTATTTCAAATTTTTAACGATCGTTTACTCAACGAATTTTTTGACCAATTTTCATCTAATAGTAAGTCAAACTCCAGAAATGCCCTTAATGTTAGAAAGAAATCATGAAAGTGACGAATGTAATGAATGAAGACAACGATTTTGATGGAAAACATCG